TGCCGTATTAAAGTTTTCTATCGCTTTTTCTTTTTCTTTGAAATTTGTTGTTGTGTGAGAAAACGATTGCATTATGCTTTTTGAAAAAATGAACGAACATTGAGGACGCATTTGTGATGATCGATACATCGCTCTCCATCAACAGTATCAATTAATCGTTTCACTCCAAGTAATATCGAACTGATCCCCATAAATCCACTGTTAAGGAAAATAACCGCAAGAACTAAGTAAGAGCTCCTGAAAACCTCATCATCTCTTATCCGTGCACTATTTTTGAGAGATTTTTCATATTCGAATTGACAGCTTTAAAATGCTTAGCTTAGTCTTTCTGATGATAAAACTGTGTTCATCATACAAAATTTTCTGAGATAAATTCAACTGACCTGAGTGCTTTGTCATTGACCACAACCATAAAAGTGGGAATGTTGATCAATATTAGCAATATACCGATAACCACATATGCATATGTGTACAAAATATAGTTTACAGTTGATGACTGTAACTTTTCATTGCTTACAGTGGGCATAATTTCAGTTGCTATTTCGCTAACAGCTAGAGCCATTGTTATGCAAAAACGAGATAGAAAAATAGTTCTTAACTTTCAGAATCAGCACAATTATTCAATACTGCGTTTGGTGATCTTTTGTAAGATAAGTGATATCTTCTGAAATAGGTCAGTAATACTGACAATTAAATTCTTACAGTCACAAAATGTTGAAGATTTTTCGGCTGTATTGCTTAATTTGAAATTTTATACAGTTCCATATTCAATATACAAATCATCAAATCATACGCTAAATAAATTCGGCATATAAAATATTTTTGATATTAATTCGTTTTTATATTAAAACTTCTTGTTTCATCTTTGCATTTCCTGTCTCGAATGTAAAAGATGAAAATATGCAGAGTTTTTTAGCTCGTTTGAAATTTAAGACTATTAAAAGATAGGTTATTACTTTTTGATCAGAATCATCAATTAGAAAGTTACACTAATATGAATTTCAACAGCTGTTCGATGTAAATTTGGAAGGCAAAGCCACTTAAGAATAACGTAACGGAACAATGACTGAATTACGGTAAAACTTAAAGTGATGTGAAATTGGAAAATAAGCCTAATGAGCTGAAATCCGTGTGCAAAAAATTCAGTGCACTTCACTACTTTTTTGTAACCGTTAATTTTAAAATATTTTAAATATGTGATATACTAAGGACAGATATTTCCAATCCAATTAATTGTCATCCGTATTATTCGTTTAAAAAAGAAATGAAAATGTCGTCTTGCTGATTAATGTTCATTAACAATTTATTCACTATCGGACGTTATTAAAATAGTGTTTGTTAGCTGCATGAGGAGATAAGCACAAATATCACATAAAATATGAATAACTTCATAATTGAGAGAAATTATCATCATGTGTAGTTTTATTTACAAGAATGATTTTATCTTTGGCCAATAATTGATTAGTTTACAGCATAATTCATTTTCGGAATTTAATAATTGCTTCACAGTGAATACGCAATCGTCTCTTGTGAGAAAGTAAAATTAGTACATAGAAGAAGTTGCACTTAAATTAGGGATTTTGAAGTATGAGGATGTTCAGAATCCACGAACAACAGAATCATCAAGAATTATTTGAATTGAAATACTCAAGTTGAATGGAAATTATGAGAAAATATTACTTTGTAACTTAGATACAGCGAAATTTTGCTTCATCCATCATATTTATCTAATCTTTTTTTAAATATCTCGAACAAATTTTCAGAAGAAAATGCTTCCATAACCAATATGATATAACTGATGTGAAATTGTATACTTTGATTTGAATTGATTGTTTGAAGAAGAACTTTGTTTTGATGCAGTTGAATAGTGCAGTTTGAATTATTTGACAGAGAGCCTGATTCTTCCTGACATTATAGGACAATTATCAGAAGTATCAATAATAGAGTCCATCACTTGGTAAGTTTTCTCTACTCGTTGATTAGAAGGAATGTAATTCGAAGCTAGTTGTTGAGTTAGTAATTTAGAAGGGACTTGCTTAATAATGTAGTATGACACTTGGTGACACTTGGAGACATTATTCAATAATTGCTGCACAATATACGATAACTGTC